GTGATGGTGAAAAAGACTGTAACAGAGATCCTGATTGCAAGGATGGAAGTGATGAAATTAACTGCCCTTCTCAGACCTGCAGGACAGACCAGTTCAGATGTGAAGATGGGAACTGTGTCCATGGGAGTAGGCAGTGCAGTGGTGTGAGAGACTGTCTGGATGGCACTGATGAAGCAAACTGTAACAATGTTATTCAGTGCTCAGGACCTGGCAAATTCAAGTGCAGAAGTGGAGAATGCATAGATATCAATAAAGTGTGTAACCAGCAGAGAGACTGCAAGGACTGGGGTGATGAGCCCCTGAAGGAATGCAACATAAATGAATGTGACTGTCCAGCTGGGTTTGAGTTTGTAGACAAGAGAAACTGTGGAGATATTGATGAATGTCAAAACCCTGGTATCTGTAGTCAAATCTGTATCAACCTGAAAGGTGGCTACAAATGTGAACGTAGCCGTGGCTATCAGGTGAATCCTGCTACAGGAACCGGGAAAGGGCCATACTGGTACAAAAACACAAATAACACCTGTGATTACAATGACGCTGCTAAGCAGGGTTTAGGGGTTTGTAGCATGGAGACAAGGGGTAACAACTACAGTGTTTGGAACAATTGTGCAGCTTTGGCCTTACCTCCTGATGTGCTTCTGATTTGTGGGGATAGGGCTTGGCAAGGTATCCCTGCAAATGCTATCAGATGTCCATGTTACTTAGATAAACTCATTGTATTTGCTCCTAGCTTGTTACAGTTGCGTGAGATCACCAGACATAAATGGGCATTGCTTGCATCGGATTGCAATGATAATGTTGAATTGTGTGGGGTTGCAGCTAGAGCGGCATTAGCAATTTCAGTGCCTGGAGTGGCATCTGCGGCCACACGTAACAACTTAGAAAAATTGGTATGCTGGGCCAAGAGGCAAGCCTATGCCATGACAGAGATACTTGAGGAGATGTTACCAGATCAAAATAGTCTGCGACATCTGCTTTTACAGGATCAAGCTGCTATTGACATCTTGCTTTTGGCTCAAAGGAATGGGTGTGAGGACTTTAAGGGAATGTACTGTTTAAACCTTTCTGATCATAATGAGTCAATTCACAAATCCATTACTTTCCTGAAAGAGCATATGAGAAAGATTCAGTATGGTATCAATCCTTTCAATCAATGGTTCACTGACTTGTTTGAAACAAGGTGTAGATGGTTGCTGGGTTTAGTCACAAGGGGATTAAGGATTTGGTTTATGGTGGTGGTAATCATCGTTGTGTGTTGTAAGAATAGCTAAAGAGTCACTTGTAAAACTGCTGTGTCGGGCTTGGTTTGCTCAAAAGAAGAAGGGGGAATTGTTGAGGGATTTCTTGAAACAGCAAAAATCCTATGGCTTGCTGTAGCTGAGCAAACCAAGCTACCAGGGCAACTATGAGAAGTTCCCATGACAGTGTTCCCACATCGCCCAATTGAGGAATTCAGAAAAATATTGTTACCAGTAGCTGGCTTCAAGGACAAGGTCTATGTGACTGCTAATCACAAGGGGGTTGTTTTCTTGCAGGTGGGGTTGTTTTCTTATAGTTGTTTGTCTGAGTGCTTTTGACCAATAATCTTGTGTGAAACACTGTCCACCCCTGTTAAGTTCTCTATAAAAGTTAGGCTATTCGGGCAATAAAATGGAGCATGATCTGACTCTACTGGTGCCTGTCGTGCTTTCGACCGTGCTTCCTGCAACAAGAAACAGTGTGACCAGCAGGGCTAGGGAGGTGATCGTCCCCCTGTACTCGGCTCTGGTGAGGCCGCACCTCGAGTACTGTGTTCAGTTTTGGGCCCCTCGCTACAAGAAGGACATCGAGGTGCTTGAGCGGGTCCAAAGAAGGGCGACGAAGCTGGTGAGGGGCCTGGAGAACAAGTCCTACGAGGAGCGTCTGAGGGAGCTGGGCTTGTTCAGCCTGGAGAAGAGGAGGCTCAGGGGCGACCTTATTGCTCTTTACAGATACCTTAAAGGAGGCTGTAGCGAGGTGGGGGATGGCCTGTTCTCCCACGTGCCTGATGACAGGACGAGGGGGAATGGGCTTAAGTTGCGCCAGGGGAGTTTTAGGTTAGATGTTAGGAAGAACTTCTTTACTGAAAGGGTTGTTAGACATTGGAACAGGCTGCCCAGGGAGGTGGTGGAGTCACCATCCCTGGAAGTCTTTAAAAGACGTTTAGATGTAGAGCTTAGGGATATGGTTTAGTGGGGACTGTTAGCGTTAGGTCAGAGGTTGGACTCGATAATCTTGAGGTCTCTTCCAACCTAGAAATTCTGTGATTCTGTGAAAACTTCTTTGGGAAGAATCCTTCCCAAGTGTTATCACCCACGAAGACCACTCTTCTTCCTGAAGCAGAAAGAAAGGAATTAATGGGAGCAGGGAGCATGCCATTACCCACGTTAGTGCAAATAGCCCAAGCAGATCCAGGTCAGGCTCCAGAGCACTGGCTCCTCTCCAACCCACACTCAAAAGCGACCTAGAACTAAAATCCTGGGCTCAAACTTGAAACATGATAGTGATGGGGCTTCATATGCAGAAAAGAGAAGGCAAAAGCCTGGCAACTTTCCATCACCCTCACTCTGCCTGTCCTTGACCTGTCTGCCACCAGCCACCCCTTGGCGTTTTCATAGAGCCTATTCAGCATGGAAGCAGGATCCATCCCCCTGAGCAGGCTCTACAAGTGTTTTTGGCCTCTGATGATTTATTGCATGTGCCCTCCTTTCTCATGCACAGGGAAGCTGACAGCCCAGCACTGCTGCCTCACCCCAGGCACGGGCGTGACTGATGTCTGTGCTGCACTGAGCCCTAGAAGGAAATCTCTGGGTAACACAATCACAGACTGGCCAAGGTTGGAAGGAACCTTGGAAGATCACCCAGTCCAACCCCCTGCTGAGCAGGATCACCCAGAGCACATTGTGCAGGATGGCATCCAGGTGGGTTTTGAGTATCTCCAGAGAAGGAGATTCCACAACCTCTCTGGGCAACCTGTTCCAGTGCTCTGTCACCCTCACAGTAAAGAAATGCCCTCTCACATTCAGACAGAACTTCCTGTGCTTCAGTTTGTGCCCGTTGCCTCTTGTCCTGTCGCTGGGCACAAGTGAAAAGAGACCAGCTTCATCCTCTAAACACCCTCCCCTCAGATATTTATACACATTGATGAGGTCTCCCCTCAGTCTTCTCTTTTCCAGGCTCAGTTCTCTCTACTATGTCATCCCACCTAAACAAGCTCTTTACAGCGCACCCAGGCAGCACCAAATTACACAGAAAAAGTGGTGACAGCTGCAGACACCCTGCATGATGCCCCCATGACATACCTTGCCCCAGCTCTGCCCCCATCAGGCCTATCATCCGACCGCAAACAGAACCCACTGGCAATGCCCTTGGCTTCTCAAAGCCACTCCTGGTGGTGACCTTGTGACAGTCACCACTTGTACAACCACTTTCACCTGCTTTCTCATCATCTTTGTAGAAACCCTAGCCAAGCTCCCATTTGTTTCCTACTCTCGGTACAAGCCAGAGAAACCCAGCCTGCATGACAGCTCTGGCCAAGACAACTGACATCCGGGTGAGAGCAAAAAAACAAAAAATAGCTGAGGGATAGAGGTGTGGTAAACAGCTCCCTTCCTGAGGAAGAGAGAGAAATAAAGGTCCCATGTGAATGCTGACCAGCATTTTCCATGTTCCCCTCCTGGCCAGACACCACATGTACCGTTCTGCACCAGCTGTGCCAGCAGGTTGTCCTCCAGGATCGCATTGGTGGCAAAGTTGCTGCTCACGTCAATGAAAGCGTGCAGCGAGCTGGTGGTGAGGCCCTTGATGTGCTGCCTGGTGGCAGTGGGAGGATCAGCTCGGAAGCAGTAGAGGCAGGCATGGCAGGGCTGGGAGCTTGCCAGGTGGTGCAGGAAACTCAGCTTGTTCTCGTAGGGCAACAGGCTTACCTTGGCTGGGTTAAACCTGGCAGACTCGAAATAGAGGGCATTGATGATGACCAACATGGCCTTGGGAAAGCGCTGGGGCAGCCAGCAGGAGCCTGGCGGGAGGCTCTGCTTGTCCCACAGTGGTGGCATGAGCGGGTTTGAGCAGGAACTGCTGTTGGGAAGCTCAATCCAGGTGAGGAGGAAACCACTCATGAAGAGCCTGATACCAGCAAAAAAGAAAAGAGAGCAGACCAAGGCCAGGAAGAGCAGCACTGGCCATCGCTGCATCCTATGGGGAAAAACAGGTAAACTTAGTCCCTTATGACTCTACTGGGGCCAGGTGACAGCTACCTCACCAGTACCCACCCCTTGTACTCTACTGTCCCTCCAGTTGCTACCCTACAAACCTACCCCTGCACAAACCCAGGTAAAGTCCCGGGCAATGCCCCTTGTGCTGCCGCCACTCCGTGCCACCCCCAGCCACCTCCCAGTACCCTAACTCCCCTCTGCTGCCCCCCCACGCCCCCAGCCTACTGTCTAATCCCTGCCCATTTCCGTGTGCCCCCAACCACCCCCACACGGACCATCCCCGTGCCCCCACTCCCCCTGCAAGCCACCCTGCAGCCTCCCCTGTTCCTCACCTACCGCTCCCCCACCCTCCTCACCATCCCAGCACCCCCTGGTATCCTCCGGCCTCCCAGCCTCACCGCCCCCCGGCCTCGCTTACCTGTGGCCTCCGCTGCCCTTGGAAGCACCCAGGAGTGGCAACGCGAGGCTTGGTGGAGGCGACAGCGACCCCCAGCCACCGTTCCCCCCAACTGACACCAGCTGCACCAGTACCCAGTGCACCCCCGACCCCTGAGGATGGCAGCTACAGCTCGAGCCACCACGCACAAGCAGGTGAAGCCCAGCCTTGTGCAAGGCTGCATGCAAATCCAGCCACGGGGACAAGCAGCCCACAGTCCCACAGAGGAATCCTCTTGCAGACTGTCCCGGCCCCCAAATTGCTTGGGATGAACATCATCTCACGCTGCATCCCTCCATATCAATACACAGCCCTGAGCACCACGAGGATGAGCTGCAGCACCAGTACTATTTATTACATGATTAAATCCAAATACAAAAGTAGGGCCAAGGGAAGAAGAACAGAGTCCCACTGGGGAGGGCAGCAGAACAGGGCTCCCCGCAGCCTGGCAGGCCCTGAGTGAGTGTCCCCACTCTCACGGGTGCTGCACCATCAATGTGTCCAGTGTCCTTCAGGCCCCGCTAGCTGGAGGTTGCCTGCTCTGCCTTAAGCACCTCCGTGCTGGGCGTCCCCATGGGCTGGGGGTATCTCATCCTGAGTCTTCGCAGCTTGCATCTTGGACAGTGAGCTTGGTCACTGCGCTGCCATGCTGCGGAGAGATGGTCAAGGCTCATCAGGAAGGAGGCTGAGCCAGGCACCACCAAGAGCTCAGCCGTGCCCACACCCCCAGCCTGCCCCAGGTGTCAACAAAACTCTTCACTAAGATGCCAGGGGGCATCTGTGAGAAAGCTGGGTGCCACCCCAGCTTCGGGATCATCTTCCTGTGCTGGCACCAAAGCTTTGCCCCAAGGAGCCCTCACTCATCTGCTGGGCCAGGGCAGCCACCAGGAGCTGAATGGCCTCAGCCTTGGCCTTGGCCCTGACCAGCATGGCACTGGCTTCTCCTGCAACAAAGCACATCAGAACTGTGACAACACGCTTGCAAGAAGTATATCAAGAAAATGTGGTGCATGCAAAGCCTCCTTTTCCCTAACAATAGCACTACAATTGTCCTGCAACGCCTCTCCTGCTGCCCCAGGCTGTGGGGAAGCAACACCAGCTGCAGCACAGTCCAAGGGTCCCAGCAGGGAGGAATGAGAGCAGCTGAGGCAGTCTGGCTCACAGCAGTGCAATCTGCTCCCAGGAAGCATCACCCCTCAATACAGAGGGGTGCAGAACCCCTGGTGTTCAAGGCATGTTCTAGCCAAAGGAGCTACCAGCAGCTTTGTTGATTTTCTCAGCCTTCTTGGCTTCTGACGCCAGGATTTGGGCCTGCTTCTGCCCCTCAGCCACATTGACAGCAGATTCCCGCATCCCCTCTGACTCCAGCACTGTCGCACGCTTCCGTTGCTCTGCCTCCACCTGCAAACACAGGTCAGATGTTGCGAAGCACGGACGAAAGCACGACAGACACCAGCAGAGTCAGATCATGCTTCACCATTTTATTGCCCGAATAGCCCAACTTTTATAGTGAACTTTACAGGGGTGGACAGTGTTTCACACAAGATTATTGGTCAAAAGCACTCAGACAAACCGTTAAGAAAATAACACCACCTGCAAGAAAAGAACCCCCCTTTTGATTAGAAGTTAGGAAAACAACCCCCTTTGTGCTTAACGGTCACGTAGGCCTAGTCCTTGAGGCCAGCTGCTGATAACAATATTTTCTGAGTTCCTTAATTGGGTGATGTGGGAGTCATTGCCGTGGGAGCTTCTCACAGTTACTCTGGCAGCTTGGTTTGCTCAGCTACAGCAGGCCCTGAGATTTCTAAGGCCTACCCCTGGTTGCTTAGGTCCACGTCCTGTATGCCAATTCCCAACAGTCAGATGCCTGCCTGCCACAGCCACTCTGGGGGAATCCCACCCATGGGGCAAGTGCAGCAAAGACACTTCTATGTCCCTACTGGGCAAGCAGAGCTTAGCAAAGGGTAAGACAACAGCTACAAAACACTGAGTGATCCCCAGCAAGGGTTGGTTCTGCTTCCCAGATGCAGTTTGCTGCAGTAGTGAGCCCAACCCACAACATACCATGCTGCCCTGGTCCCAGGCATACTGCTCACAATATGCCACGCTGACTCCATGTGGGGCACTCACTGTAACGCCACTGGGCGCTACCAGCTCACAGAAACTGCTCCGAAGAGCACCCACCAGCCCACACAACCCTCCTCAGTCTGGTCCACATCTAACAGGCCAGCCTGCTTCCCCTCCTCCCCTTCCATGCCTGCCCTAGGCTCTGGCATCCCACTTTCCTCAAGGGGAGACCTTCAGCTCTGAGTTTTGCTTCCTGCAGAGCCCAGCAGGCCCCAGGGATTTTAAAGGGAGCTGGCAGAGCTTGCATGTACCAGGCAGGGGCCACCACTGCAGAAAAAGAATGGGGATTATTTACACAATAGCTGTGTATTTGCAGCCAAAGTTCCAACACGCTTCCCTCCCTGCAGGATGGCCCAGAGTGCTGCCAGCTCTGGATGGAGAACAGCCATGCTTCATGGAAGAGGAAACTTCCCTCTCATTCCACATCACCCACCCAGAGAGCCGAACCTGCATCTGCATAGATTCCTTCATGCGGGGAGGGGCACGTGGATGTCCTTAATCTTGTAGCGCAGGCACCAGATGCCCCAGCAGTCTGAGGCTTGGTTGATGGCATCCACTATGTTAGCATTGAGGGACTCACGCTCCTGGCAGGCACAAAAGAAACAGCAGAGAACAAAGAAGAGGTGCTTAGCGTAAGACAGTGACAGAAGGGAAACAGACACCTCATTCCATGGGCAAAGGTCAACCAGAAAATCCCCAACTCCACGAGTGTAGGGCAGGGCAAGATGCTTTCCACATCTCTCGGAGGGGTCACCTTCTCCTAGAAAGGGCAGTGCCCAAAACTGAAATTGCTGATACAAGCATCTGGTCTACAACTGGATACAGAAATGTTCCAGGAACACAAACAGCTCCTGCTTCTGTCCAACAAATGCAGCACGAGGATTACAGCCCCCCTGAACCAGGTCAGCCAGGACACTCATCACTGGGCCTAAGCAAAGAGTAGCTGATTTGAGAGACACAGTCACACCAGCTGGGTTTGGACATTGGCCAAAAAGATGCAAAGCAAGACCCATCTCCAAAGATTCACAAACAGGTTGACTGAAACGGAAGCCAGAAGCCATCTAAGCAAAGGGCATTTTAGTGTTATACATATCAGCCTGGTTGTACAGGCCCCGCAGGGTTTCGAGATGCTGCCAGATGTTGGCAGCGCTGGTATCCACCTCCCCTGCTCACCCGGAATAATCTGTCGAGGGAGAGTTTGCCAAGTTCAGATCTCATGGTGGTCTGGGCCAGCTGGGTCACGGCATATTCAGGATCCTCCACCCCGTAACTGGCCTGGGGAGCAAAAGCAAAAACAAGAGAGTAAGTGGCGGTGCTGAAAGGGACCCCGAAAGAGGTTGTACTGTGTCTGTCTGGGATGGAGTCACCTTTCCCTGCAGCAGCCCACACAGTGCTGTGCTCTGCACTCGTAGCTGGAACAGTACTGATATCACTCCAGTATTGTGTCTATTGCTGCGTAGTGCTGGCACAGCATCAGGACTCCTTCCAAGCCCCCAAGAGCCAGCAGGCTGGGGGTGGGCAAGTGATAGGAAGGGGACATCGCCAGGGCAGCTGACCTAAACCAACCAAAGGGATATTCCATGCCATGGAGGGGCTCTCATGGTGGAAGCATCTGTCCTCCTGAACAACCACTACGCGTATTGATGCCCTGCTTCCCAGGACGTGGCCCAACATCTCTCACTGACGGGAAGTAGACAGTAACTACTTTTCTCTCTCTGTGCTTCCATGCGGCATTTGCTTTATTTTTTTTTTCTTTCCTTTTTTTCCCCCTCTCCCTTTTCCCTTTAATTAAATCATCCTTATCTCAAACCTCGAGCTCTTTGTGTTGTATTTTTTCCCCCTTCCTCTTTGAGGAGGGGGAGTGAGAGTGGCCATGGTGGAACTCGGCTGCCCACCTGAGTAAAACCACCACATAGGCAAGATGAGGAAAGGTTGTACTAAAATGAAAAACCTGACACAGACAGCCCCATCAACCTCCTCCTCCAAGAGACCAGTCCTGGAGAAGGGGATGCTCAGCCCACCTGCTTGTGGAGCACAGCAAGCCCAACAGAGACTGGAGCATGCATCTTAGAGAGATGGAGCTGAGAGAGGCTGGCCACAGTGGCCAGCTGGGTGAGGCTGCATACGCAGAGCCTGCAGGGTGCAGCCATGGGTGCTGGAGGCTGGAAGCTGCAAGCTGCCTCGTGCCTCCAGGGTCAAGCTGGGCCTCAGTACAGCAGGGACGGTACCTTGTAGGGGTCCATAACCCGCAGATAGAGCACTCCATCAATCTGCAACATGACATTATCTACCAGTAAAAGAATGACACATCCTGTTTACTGAAACAGAAGAGAAAAGGCATAGCAGCCCCCCTTTCCCCTGATAGAATTAGCAGAGCTGGGCATGGTTGCCCCTCTCCTTCCTGTTGTCAACAGTGTGGCATGGAGAGAGGGATCAGCTGAAATAGATCTCCTCGAGTAAAATGTTTTGTAAAAAGGATCCCTACATTCTCAACAAAGTGTCTCACTTTGACTTTTAAATACACCAGAAACCTCAGGTGTCAAGATCAAAACATTTCATGCTGTAGCTACCTTAACAGGTAAAAGATTTAAGAGGGGAAAAAAAGAAACTTAATACTAGAATTATAACAGACAAGTCCACCAACCAGATCCAAAATCTTTGCATGTCATTTGCAAAAAACACAGTGGAGATTTTTCCTGGTTCAACACATGAAAATTTCTGAAATACGAAAAATTGATTATTGCCTGCTGTATTCATCACAGCAAGAAGTGGAGCACCCCAGAGGGGCACATGGGACCTCCTGGTTTTGCTGATCATAGTGTCATAGGCATGGGCAAGTCTGGGTCCACAGACATTTCTTCTCAGAAAGAGCGGTCAGGCATTGGGACGGGTTGCCCAGGGAGGTGGTGGGGTCACTGTCCCTGGGGGTGTTCAAGGAAAAGTTGGATGTGGTGCTTAGGGACATGGTTTAGTGAGTGACATTGGGGATGGTCAGACCAGATGATCTTGGAGGTTTTTTCCAACCTTGATTCTGTGATTCTAGGAGCCTGGGACATTTCCTCTTGTCCCTGCACTATCCCTTGTTCACCGCAGATGCAGGGGATGGGAAGGGGCAGGAGACAGAAACTTTTCCTTACCTAGGGTGACAGCTGACTGCTCTGGGACATTAATGACAATTTCTTTGAGACTCTGCACATAACGAATCCGATCCAGCAAAGGGATGAGGAAATTCAAACCCTGTGAAAAAGGTGGGATTAGACAGTTGAGCCCTGAAGCCAGGCAGAGGTTTTCCTACCCAGGGAGCTCAGACAACCTAGAGAGATGTGCAAACAAAACCCAAGTATGTGACATGCTGCAGATGCTTCAGGCTGAGCAAACATGCTTCACACATGTGGGGAGCTTAGGTTTTTCACTGATTTTAACACACAACTTTAAAGGAAATTAGTCTACAAGCACCTAAAAGAATCACAGTCTGACAGAATAAGCACGGGTACTCTGACCATCCTCTGAATCCTCTTGCAAAGCATGTGCCTTGCCACAGCTACAGGAACCTGCAGGACCCAGAAGGGCAGAAAAGCAGCTCCTTACGGGCTCAAGGATTCGGTGGAACTTGCCCATCCTCTCCACCACCCAAGCCTCCTGCTGCAGTACGAAGAGCACCCCAATGTTCAAGGGCAGGCTGGAGTTCAACCGCTGCGGAGCCGGGGCCAGCCACGCTGAACGCTTCAGCTGCTGGGCGCACTGTGGGACCGAGAGGCACGAGATGGAGCCCAGCAACGGGCGGGCAGCCCCTTGCCAGCAACCACCACCACGCCTCCTCCTCCTCCAGGCTCGCAGCCAGCAGCCCGAGGGCACACGGGTGCACACCACGGCTGTTCATGGGGGGGGGACTCACCCCGGCTCTGGAGCTACCCCCCAGCCCCTTCCCTCACATCCCACCTGCGGTGGGGGACCACAAACCCACCCCGGGACCCTCACGGACCACTCGGCGCCCCCCAGCTCCGTTACCCTGGGGTTCTCCCCACACACACACTGTCCCCCGACCCCTCAGCGGTGCCCGTGCCTACCCGCAGCAGCCCGGGTCCTGCCCGGGCCAGCATCGCTCCCCCAGCGATGTCGTCCCTGCTCCCGTCCCGTTGCTGTTCCCCGCCCGCCGCCCCGGAACCCTCCCCAGGCAGCACCGCCTCTTCCGGAGCCCTCTCGTCGCCTCCCGGTCCGCCGCAGCAGCCGCTGCCCTTGGTTCCCTTTCGTGTCCCCCCCTCATTCCCTCGGGGCGTTGTGGGGCTGGGCTCGATCTCCAAACGTTTATTAAATAAAACTGTGGGAATAGAAATGTTGTTTTTGCAGAGTTACATTGTTTAGAAGGAAGGAATGTGGTACTGAGATATGCTTACAGTGATAAGAAAGCTTAGCAGGCGACCTTGTAAAATGCAGACAACCAGACCCTTTAGAGCAATTAAGTGAAAATCACGGTGTTAAGTCAAGTCAGATAAGTGAAGAAACATTACCCCTTCAAGCAGTAAAAACATCAAAAGAAATTTGAGATTTAACAGGCCGGGAACTGAAGGCCATGCATTGTCTGTGAAGCATCAGACAGATTGTGAACCTGGATTACCCAGTCAATGGGTAATGATTTGATTACCCTGTCATCAAAAAGTATATAAACTGTGTTTTGGAACCAGTCGGTGCGCTCTCCTGCTTGTGGGGTGCCTGCCATTGCAATTGCGAATAAATGACTACTTCACTGAGATCCTCGCCTGAGCCTAAGTTATTGGCTGTGGAGTGTTTCTCACAATTTGGGGGCTCGTCCGGGATCCAGTCACCTACTGGGGAGCCCCACTGCCGCAGCAGCAGGAAGGCATGCCCCGCTGATTTCAGCGGTCCTGTGCATCCATGGTGGTGGTTCTGCAGAGAGCTGACAGAGGGCCTGAGACTGATTAAAGAGGCAGGATCCGTGAAGTAGTGGGGAAGGGAAGAAGGTAGGCACTCTGGGTTTTTAAGAATCGATCCGGTAACTCTGTGCACAGACCAAGGTAAGAAATATTAAGTATTGCCTTGGGGGTTGGGTGAGACTCTGTGTGATGTGTGAGTGAGACGTACTTCTGTATGAAGCGAGTGTGGAGTCCTGATCCGCGGTTCTGTAGCTCCACGAAGGGCGCGGCCAGAGACGGACGAAGCGTGAGAGAAAGGAAGAGTCTCGGGAAATTTGGTGTACGGTAAGCCCTCGCACAGGGAAGTGCTGGGTAGTACACCAGGGAAATTTGGTGTACGGTAATCCTTGCACAGGGAAGTGCTTGGCAGTACACCAGGGAATCTGGTAAACTCATAGGTGTGTGGTAACCCTTGCACGGTACAGTTTGGCAGTACACCCCCATTTTCCAGAATCGGAACATTAGTGTGTGGTACCCTGCAGAAGGGAAATTTCTGTAGGAACATACTGACGAGGGCTAGGAAAAATGGGAAATATGAGTTCCAGGGGACAGGGAGATATCCCTGGGGGAGTGCCTACCAAATGTTCTTCCTGAAGAATGATAAGAAATTGGAAAAATAATCCCAAAATTAGAGGAGATGATAAAAGAAAAAAAAAAAAAAAAAGGTTAAATATTGTGTATCAGTCTGGACAAAAGAACCAATTAAGGAAACAGCAGTATTTTGGCCAAAATACGGGTCTGATGAAAATTCAGGCTTTAAATTTATGTGTAAACAATAAGATTCCTTTTTCGGAGAAGGAGCCAAGTTATGCTCCCTATAATCCTAATATTGAACTGGTGGCAGCAGCAGTCACTCCAGGAAGGGAGACAGGGACTGTAATTAACACTGTCCCTAAAGAAGGATCGTACTCTAGGCTCTGGCAAGAATTAGAACAAGGTAGAAGAGATATTGAGAATTTTGCCTTCCCTGATACTAACAGTACTAACACTAACTGTGTATCCTCTTAGGTGAACTACCCCCTCCTCCTTACCAGCAGAGAGGTTAGGACTTTTAAGAAGGAGAGGAAGTCTTTATTCGAGGACCCCAACAGCCTAGCTGAACAATTAGACCAGTTCCTACGACCTGACTTATACTCTTGGGGGAGGGAATTATGTCTATAAGTATGTTGTTTACAGGGAAAGAAATGGGAATGATCAGGAGGAGAGCTGCTATACAAGAATGGGAAAGAGCTCATCCTCCAGGACCAGGGGTAATACTGGCAGGGCAGAAATACCCACTCGCCAATCCTGGCTGGAATAATAATAGTGTGCAACACAGAAATTATATGAGAGACTTGGGGTCAGAATGAGAAAGTACTCGGGGATGAATCCCGAGGACCTGGTATCCCAAGGGCTCTTGAAAGTTCATTGTGTGATTAAAGCCTGGAAAAATATGCAGAAAATGCTTCAGAAGGTGGGGGGATGTAGTGAACTGACTGGGGGACCCTCCTGCGGGAGGCCCTGGAGGTGTGTGTCCGGAGGGGAGATGAGAAGGAAAAGCAGAGAGCGAAACTAATGGTATTGACAATGCAGCGGGTAGTGAGGCAGAGGGTTGGAGAAAGAGGAAGAAAATCTTCAGGGGAGTCAGGGCCAGGATGGAAAGGAGAGGAAGAGAGATGAAGGAACGGCAGGCAAAGAAGGCTGCCTGTGTTGTGGCCTGAATCCTAGCAGGGACAGGCTTTGATAAGATGTTTTAAGTGTGGCCAGGCTGGCCACTTCGAATAGGAATATCCGGAGTGGAAGAAGGAGGAGAGAAGGAAAACGGGATGAAATATGGTATACTGATATGTTGTTTTAGCATCCTGGAGGGAGAAAAGTATGGAATTAAGTTGGCCCTTGACTGAGACTTTGGTGAAAGTACAGGCTGGAGAAAGAAAAATAGAAAGAAGTGTTTAAAAAAAAAAAAAAAAGGTTACTGAAGGTGTAAAAGGTGTGGTATATAGCATTTGACAGAGCTGTTTGAAGTTGAATGAGCAGGGAAAGGGGATGTAGGCATTATCTAAGTAACAGTCTAGAAGTTTTGGTATATTTGCTGTGGTGTTTGGTCAGTTTCCCAAGCATCAGGAAGGGGGATGGGGGGGGACGACAGCCTGCTCCACCAGGAGCCACAGGCCGCAGGGGGGCTTCGGCTCCAGCACCTGGAGAGCCTCCTCCCTCTCCTTCTGCGCTGACTTTGATGTCTGCAGGGAGGTTTCTCGCTCCTTGCTCCCCCAGCTGCTGTTGAGCAGCAGGTTTTTGTTTGTTTCTTCGTTTGTTTGTTTTCGTGGATGTGCTCTCACAGAGGCATGGACTGTATTGCTCATGGCTTGGCTCTGGGCAGCAGTGGGCCCCTTTGGGGCCGGATGAAATTGTCCCTTATCTGCCACGGGGAGGCTTCTGGATTCTTCTCGTGAAGAGAAATCTTCTCTGCCCCCCCCCCCCCGCGAACCTTGCCATCAAACCCAATACACTGGGGTAGCTAGGTCATTACTGGCTTGTAAAGTATCAGGGATTAAATTAACTAATGAAACCCTAAAAAGTGATGGGGGTAGAAGGGGCTGGGAAAACAGTGCCGCTTTTGGGGGATACCAAGCTGAGACCAGGGGATAAAATGATCACTGGGCAATTATTGCATGTACCCAAGGCAGGGACTAACTTGTTGGGAAGGGATTTGATGATGAAATTGGGCATTCAACTAGTAAATTGTTAGACTGGAATAACAGTTAATGGAGTAATTATTAATGGAGTGCTCTCAGGCCCCGAGAGCAAAGATATACTCACCTCTGACTGGAAAGACCCTGAAATGGGGGTGGAAGCAACAATACAGATGGACGGTTTTACCTCGGGGGTTTACAGGGCCACCTATCTATTTGGGTAAGTTCTAGAACAGATTTTGGAGCAATTACAACCTCCCGAGGAGGTGTTACTGTTACAAATATGTGGATGATCTTTTATTGTCAGGACAGGAGAACAGAGTTGTGAAGGAAGCTACTAACAAGCTATACAACTTTCTGGGAAAGCAGAGCTTGGGAGTATTGAAAAATAAATTACAATATGTAGAAACAGAAGTCAGGTATTTAAGGCATCTAATGTCTGAAGGAAAACAAAGAATAAATGCAGAGAGGATTCAGGGAATTGTTGAAAACTAAGAAAGAACTAAAAAGTTTTAAAAGAAAGATTTTTTTAAGGAATCAGGAGCCACGAAGTCTGAAGGAAAATGGATACTCCCTGATGGGAGAGAAATGCTGAATAAAGTGATAATGAGGCAAATATTAATTGTTTTACATCAAAAGAGTCATTGGGAGGTGCAAGCAATGTGTGATGTTGTGCTAAGAAAGTACGTCTGTGTAGGAATATACACTTTAGGGAAGCACATATGCAGAGGATGTACCATATGTCAAAAAGTAAATAAAAAGGTCTTCTGTAAACCATCTAGAGGGGGATGGGTGCCAGGGCTTTGACCTTTCCAAAGTATACAGGTAAACTTTACTGAGTTACTTGTTTGTCCTAATTGACCACGTGACTGGATGGGTGTAAAGCTTTACTGCAAGGGTTAAAGCAGGCCTTAGAGATTGAGTGGGATTTTCACAGCCCCTGACACCCCTCCTCTTCTGGGAAGGTGGAGCGAATGAACCAGACATTAAAGAAGCAAATAACTAAATTAGTGTTAGAAACCCAACTTCCTTGGGTAAAATGCTTACTCCTACAGGTTTAAACAGCACCAAGAAAGGATATAGGAATTTCACCGTATGAGATGCTGTTTGGATTGCCCTATCTGGGCAGAAGGGATGAGATACCACAATTCAAAACAAGAGAGTTTTCTTAAGAACTGTATTCTGGGGTTGTCCTCTTCTTTGTCATCTCTCAGGACCTGTGGGTTGTTGGCTCAAACCCCACCTTTGGAATTCCCCATTCACCACCATCACCCAGGAAACCGGGTCCTGATTCTGACCTGGAAAGAGTCAACTCCGGCCTGAATGGGAAGGACAATTACTAACCACTGAAACAACCGTAAGAACTGCGGAAAAAGGTTGGACTCACTATACTCGAGTGAAGGCATCCGTCGACCCTAGTACCTGGGAAACTGTTCCTATAGAAGACTTGTTGGAAGTTGAAATCAAAGAGAAAAATCTCATAGTGGACTCTGAGCAGGATAAGAGCTTACAATTGTAAACTAACCTTTTATTTTCACAGGTAACTAACGACTGTGACTTGTGATTGAGAGAAAGGACAGACCTATAGCGAACTGCAGTGCTCCCAAGGGGGGGTTGTTATAGTAGTAGTGTGCATCTTATTCTTTGTATTGATAATTATTTGGAAACCTAAGGGTTAAAAATAATGACAGGGAAGAATCAATTACTAGTTTTGTTTTTAGTGATTCTAGGCCTCAGAGAAGGCCTCGGTCAATTGGCAACTTGGAAAAGGCATGACCAGATAATAGCAAAAATGGGATACCCCTTCAAAATATGGGTGACTGTG